GCCTCTTTTTGTAATATTTTCCTGCTTGATAGTGAAATCCCAGAGGTCTCCATATTTCTCATTGAAATCCCATATGTCCATTGTATTGTAGTCAGCAATTAACTTGTCACGAGTCCCCCTCTCCATGTTGTATATTTGAGGTTCAAAGTTGTGGGGCTGATCTGGCTTATCCATCTCAATTATGCAAAATACCACTGTAAACAAACCTGCTCCAATGAATAAGTACTCCGCCTAGAAAGACAAAAGGCAATCAGAGAATGTTTTTCAATTGCCAAAAATCAATTAATCGTCAGTGAATCTCTACCATTAAGCAATGGGTAAACTAGCCTAATCTTTCGATATGTTTGTCACATACCGGAACATGGAAGTACATCCCAGCAGCAATTGCTGGAGGAAACAGCCATGAAATAAGACCTGCCGAAATAATCAAATCACAATATGTTCATTTTCCTTGTGATTTACTTTAATATATTATCAAAAGTAACGAGAGAGGAAGGAGTACTGATATTACCTTGAAAACCTGTTGGAGGGTCTACTGATGCATATTCCTCTGCTAACAATTCCCAAAAATTTCCTGAAAATGTGAGCAACAAGTCACATTTAAGGTCTTCTTTTTTAATGGTTAAGGCCCTTTGTTTTTTTTTTGGGAGGGGGACGTCTATCTTTTTGGTAACATTTTAAGATCTCGCTTAAAAATTTAAAATGAACTTCATCAATTCAGTTCTCTTTTAAACAAAAACAAAATTAAAAGTGGTACCAAGCCTTTTGCTAACACAATTATCCCAGAAGTTCAATTGGCCAAAACTTGTATTTTTCTGTATCAACTCAATTCAATATGCCTCAAAGACAACCTGTTTTCCCTAAAGATATTGAATTAAAAGTTTATTTATGAACTTTTTCCACCACTAAGTCAATTTAACAGGCTTCAAAGACCCAATCTTTTTAACCTGATACTATACCTGGACCTATAACACAAAGAGAGTGAATGAAAGAGTGACATTAGCATCTCTATTGGCTAGTTGACTAAAAGAACGTTTTTTAAATACTTCCTAGCATTATTGTAAGCCTAAATTTAAAGATTAATTACACTTTCCTTTTTTTTGTAAGCTTAATTCAACAAGTACAATAATATACAATTACTACTGAGCTCAGGGGGAAAAAAAAGAAAAAAAGCGAATACCTTTGTCCTCGCCTTCATGGTAAGTATGGTGGCCATCATAAACCCCATACACAAAATCTTCCTGAATCCAACCAAACTCGAAACTATTAATAGTTAACCACAAACCACAAACCAATCTCAAATTCGTGCGTAGAAGCAATAAAGAAATCATCAATACCTCGCTTATACTGTTTGTGGCCCAGCGATCAACGGGATCTTCGTTCAAATCAGGCTCGACTTCCGCGAAACCGGCCGCGTTCAGCCTCGCCAGCGAGCTTGATCTCCGATTCCTCCCCAATATTTCTCCGACCAATCTGGAATTCGCGGTGAAGCCCAAGCTTGAGGGCTTCTGGTTCAAAACCCTAACCCTAGATTCCGATTTCTTGGAGAAGATTTTGGTGATCGAAGAAGAAGAAGAAGAGAGAAGGGGAATTGGAGAAGAACGTACGGCCATACCCAAAGGTTTCATCTTTGCTCTTCTTCTCAGTGGGCGAGTGTTTTCTAAAGATTTGTAGTTTTAACGGACGGAATTTCAGTAACTGCTGGTCAGTAGAAATTTCGAGACTGACCAATTACTAAAAGCCACGTGGTGAGGGATTGTTAGATTTTGACATTGAAGTACGCGTGGCTGATGATGGTTTGTCTTTCTTGTTTGTATTGTCACAGGGGACTTGTAACTTGTGTAGCACATGGTGCGAAGTTTGAATGGACAAAAGTGAGGAATGGGTTCCTTATCCACTTTGGGTGTTTGTCGTTTCATAGCTTTAAAAAAAAAAAAAAAACTGCAAACAACATGTCGCTTATGGATCTATTAAACGACCTACGGTTGAAGACGTATTTACAAATTGTTGTGATCAGAGATGCAACAATGGGCCGGGCCTGTGGGTGGCCCAGACCCATCCTGATACAGTGACGGACCGAGACAGTACGATCCGTCTCTAATCAAGGTATGACCCAACTCATAAATATTAGTGGGTTGGACTGAGCTAATATATATCAGTTTATGGGCCGGCCCGGCACGGCCCATAAAAAATCATGGGGCAGGCAGGCCGGGCTTGGGCCGGGCTGGGCCAGCCCGGGCTTAGGTCAGGTTGGGCCAACCCGTCTAGGCCCATGATGGGCCAGCCTAGCCTAGCCCGGCCCGCCTAGGCCCATAATGGGCCGGCCCAGCCCAGCCCATCTAAGCCTATAATATCTTCATATTTTCTTTTCTTTTTTTTTTAGTAATTTTGTCAACATCTTATGTATAATTATCCTGATTGTACTCTTTTTTCCTTACTAAAACTTTGTCCCACTGAATTTTCCTTATAAAGGTGTTTATTTAATGAGATAATTGTAAATAAAATATCTCTTTTTATATTTCCATTGACTATTCAAACATATATATTTGTTAACTTATTTAAAAATTAAAAATTAAAAAATTAAAAATTGTAAGTTTAGATGGGCTGGCCCATCCCATCTAAATCTATGCTGGGCCAAGATGGGCCTTGAGTGGGCCAACCCATTCAAGGCTCATGACACGGGGTCAGGATCCCAGCCTGGCCCGCAGCACGACCCACGTAAAATTGGCATGTGGTGTGGACTGGACTGAGGTCATTCTTATATAGGCCGGCCGAGCCCCGCTTGTGTGGGCCAAAGGAGAACAGGCCGAGCCGAGCCGGCCCGTTCTTGCATCTCTAGTTGTGTTTCATATATCGTTTTATAAGCACTAGCTAGTTAAATATATATATATATAATATATATACACACATTTAAGTCAAAAGAAACTTCATTCAAAAGAACAAAAATGGAGGTAGATAAGAGTCGGGCATCTGGATCAAGCTTATAAGAGTAGTGCTAGAGACACAAGTTTAATTCTAAGTTTTTTTATATCAACTTAACATGAATGTGAATTATTATATTTTCATAGATAAATGTAAATGTTTTCTAATTAATTGATATGATAATCTTTTAAATATCTACTGATAGAAAAATGACATCTCACATGTCGCGTCATTTAGTAAACTAAAGTTAGATTAGATTTAAACAATGCTAAAGGTATTGATGGTATTGAGCATTACACATTAATATTAGGCATGTCCAGCAATAAGACCTAGTTTCTATTAGTTATAGAGCTTAGAGCGATAATTTCCCCAAGTATTTTTCATTAAATTTTCTCCGGCATTATTCTACTTGTAAAATTCTTTAGGCTAAGTGGTATTGCCAAATCATACATAATAATTAGTTTTAGATTGTTTTTGAAAATGTTTCGGCACGTCTTTTAAGACACAGAAATGAAAACGGTATGCAAACCGTGTTTGTTTAGCAAATATTTTAAAAATAGAAACGAAAACAAAAAACAGTGAGAATGGTTATTGTGAAGGAATTAGAAAACGGTTAAAAATTATTTTCCTTTTTTTATTTTCATTTTCTAGTACTTATCAACAATGTTATAATATATTAATTAATAATTATAACCAAACACGATTTTACTTTTTTATTATACTCAAAATAATCTTCTAAAAAACAAATCAAACGTAATTTCAGAATTGGTCACAAAATGATTCTTAAAATAATTTTATTTTTACTTTTGTACTGAAAACAAAATCATTTTAAAAATGCCCATCAAGTCTCCAAGCTCACCTGATAATGGGTTTTCTGTTGGTGGTGGTGGCAGGGTGGGTGTGTGTGTGGGTGTGGAAGGGCGGGAGGTGGTGGTGGCGGGGTGGGTGTGTGGGAGGAGGTTGGTGGTTGTTGGTTTGAAGTGTTCTCATTGTCGCGACATTAGGTTTGTACCAATGGGATTACCATGTTGGTCATAGGTGCTCCTTTAGTGGTGACGGTGGCAGCACGAGGGGCCTGTTCAGTTCGTTGATTCGAGTTTTTAATTCGAGTTGAGATGTGACTTTATGTGAGAGCTTTTTACTGTAGCAAAAAAGTTAGATGTGATTGTTTCTGAGAGCTTTTTACTATAGCAAAACTCGAATCGGCGAAATAAATGGGGCCAGCACTGTTACTTAGAGTTGCATAATGCATCTCTCGAGTTCTACTACTTTCTCTGTGGTTCTTGCGTTGGTTGTCTCACCGACGAGGTCTCATCACTGGTGCTTGAGATTTTCCTGTTTCTTTTTAAAGCCATTTTGTATAGCCTTGACGTTAAGGGTGTGTTCGGCAATCTCAAAAACTCAAAAAAAGGTAATTTAAGTTTCAATTTTATTCAAGTTCATATTTTTTTAAGTTTGAACCCGAGTTTGAGACTAAAACTCGAGTTCAAGTTTCCTTTTCAACTCGAGTTCAGAAACTCAAATTCAAATTAATGAACAATATTTTTTCTATTCTTAAAAATGCTATAATTTTTTCATTTTAATCCTGATTGAGATGATTTTTTTCTATGCGTTGACAACGAAAAGACAAATAAAACTTGACCCATATACCCTATTAAAATTTTTCATCAGCATTGAGTTTTTATTAAAATACTATATAAATACAAATTTAAGTTTTGACTCACTCAAATACAAACTCAAAAAGATTCTTATCTCAAACTATAACTCAAATGTACACAACCAAACACAAACTCAAGTTACAAGTTCAACTCAAATTATAACTCAAATTCAACTCAAGAATTATACTCAAGTTAAACTCCAAAAGAACAAGCCCTAAGTTTTGACCCATCCAAACACAAACTCAAAAAGAGTCTCAATTCAAATCATAACTCAAATGTGCACATCCAAACACAAACTCAAGTTACAACTTCAACTAAAGTTATAACTCAAACTCAACTCAAAATCATTACTCAAGTTACCCTAACTCAAAAATGTAAAAGAACATCCCCTAAGAGTCTCACAATTTCAATTGATTAGACTTTTCTATTTAAATTTATTGTTAAAATCGATTGCCCATTAGAATTATGGTTTTCTTTGTAAATTGAGGTCATATAGATCAATTTTGGTGTTTTTTAAGGAATATGTTCCTTTTTTAAAGGAAGAAGTAATAATTTTTGTATTCTTTTTCTAGGAAGGGTTATTCTTTTTTTATTTATTTATAAATAACTTAAAAAAATTGTTTTTATTATTTGTTGAATGTTTTTGGAAGAAAATTGTTGAATTTACTTTTAGAGTGCATGAATCTACTTTTTTACCTTTTACCTTTAATTAATACTCTTTTGACTTATATCGTTATTTGATAAAAAAGAATAGTAACAAAGACTAAACGATAAAAATCCAGACTCATACACTTTAAGAGGTATTTGCCATTTTTTCGGTTAGAAATAATTATGAAATTACCTTCAAAAGAAAAAAAAAAGAAATGTAATGAAATTAGTAATAGAGATTCTTTAATACACTTTGAGGGCATTTGTGTCACGTCCCCCAAATGGGGTGGGTGACGTGGAGCTCGATTATGGGTTAATAAAACAGATTCCCAGATGAGCCCCACTCAACTCCATTTAAAATATAAATAAATTACAGAATCCCGAGCCTCTGACAACACACATGGCTCCACCCACAGGATATAGGGTATTGTACATACATGAACATGTAAATAATCATTACAACAGACATCAACCACAGTCTAGTAAATCCAAATATTACATGAGTTTATCGAATTCTCGATTCCTTACACTTTTATGTCAGAGGATGAACACAATCCTCATTTGATCGGTCCGTATCACAACTCAGCTAATGTGCACCGCTCCTAGAATCTCCTGGGAGGGGTTTAATACATTTAAAACATAAAACGTGAGCGAAAGGCTCAGTAGGATATAATTTGAAATGACTTAAAAATAAATGAACATATAAATATGCGGGTAAATAAATAAATGGATAATTGAATAAATAGACATTCAGTTCCAACAGACAGCTGGAACCTCGCATCCTTTTTCTCTAAGGAAATAAATGTAAAATCTCCATATTACAGGCTTCGGCTCAGTAGGATATAATTTGAAATGACTTAAAAATAAATGAACATATAAATATGCGGGTAAATAAATAAATGGATAATTGAATAAATAGACATTCAGTTCCAACAGACAGCTGGAACCTCGCATCCTTTTTCTCTAAGGAAATAAATGTAAAATCTCCATATTACAGGCTTTAGCAAGTAATTAGTACATATTACTTACCTAACCAAGTGCCTCGCCTACCCAGACCGAGTTTCGGGTTCTGCCCCCGAGGATGCATGATTACGCCCAAACGTGTACAAAAATAAGCGGTCAATTGTAGTACAATTTGAACGGTCGATCCCACAAGGAAGTGTTAAATTGAACAAGAAATGATTAGAAAATAAAAAGCGTTAGGAAAGTAAGCAATCAAACAAAGAAAAAGAATGAGTGTTTTTGATGATTTTATGAACAATTTAAAATGGAGAAAATTCAATAAATAAAAGTGGTAAGGCTTTGAGAATCCTCCATATGCTTTGTTCACCCATTTGGATTTTGATTCATAAATTGACTCAATTGAAAGTTTCACATCCCAAACAATCAATCGGAAAATA